GGACAAGGTGGATGTTACAGCCCTAAGAGCAGCTCTCAGGACAGGCTGAAGTTCCACCAACACAAAGAAAAGCGAGGCTGGAATTGGCTTTTTAAAACGGGGAGGGACACAGAGAAAATGGCTCCTGGAGCCTCCTGGGGTGGCTCCTGCAGCCCCCAGAGCTCAGCAGCATTTTCCTCTCCTGCAGGGGAGGAGGTGTTGCTGATCCAGGAGAAGCTGGACGGGATCAAGACGCGCTACTCGGACATCACGGCCGCCAGCTCCAAGGCGCTGCGCACGCTGGAGCAGGCCMGGCAGCTGGCCACCAAATTCCAGTCCACCCACGAGGAGCTCACGGGCTGGATGAGCAAGGTGGAGGACGAGCTGGCCGCCAGCGGGGCACAGTCCCCTGCCCCCGAGCAGATTCCCCAGTTCCAGCAGCGGCAAAAGGTGCGAGAGCCCGGGATGGGGGTGGGAGCGGGGTTTGTGCTCTGCCCGGGGAGGAGCTGGAGAGGTCACACAGCCATGGGGGCCGTCCACAGGAGCTGAAGAAGGAGGTGATGGAGCACAGGCTCGTGCTGGACACGGTGAACGAGGTGAGCCGGGCTCTGCTGGAGCTGGTGCCGTGGCGAGCCCGCGAGGGGCTGGACAAGCTGGTGTCGGACACCAACGAGCGCTACAAGCTGGTCAGCGACACCGTCAAGCAGAGGGTGGAAGAAATCGATGCTGCCATCCAGAGGTCTCAGCAGGTGATTCCATAATTCTGATAACCTCTGCTGGGTGTTCAGGAGAGCGGGCTGGAGGCTGGTGGGGCCAAAAAAACAAGGGGTGGCAAGCATAGCCAGTCAGGAAGGTCAGGAAGGTCAGATCCCATGGGGAATGGTGAAAAATGGACCTGAGCAGCAGCGTGGGGCAGCAGGGACGGTGGCTGAGCCCGCCTGGTTTGTGGTTTTGGGATGGGATAACTCCAGAGCAGCTGGGAAAGCATCAGCCCCGCTGTGAGAAAGAGCACAGGGATTTGTTCCAGGCCATCAGTCCCCCCAAAAAAGGCTCATCCTGCACAGGTTGGGGGCTGGGGAGTGCTGGAAATCCCTGCCCTCACTCCACGGAGCGCTGACTCCATGGAAATGCTCCTGTTTATAGGAAACAGGAGGATAAGGAGGGTGCAGGGGGATGTGGCTGCCCCATCGTGCTCTAAAACTGGCTGCAGGAGCCACGGGGACAGCATGGAGCCAGAACCCCGTGCCCCACCCCAATGTCCCCTCCTCCTCCTTCTCCGTACCCCATGCCCACCCCGATGTCCCCTCCTCCTCTGTGCCCTGTGTCCCACCCCAATGTCCCCTCCTCCTCCTCCTCTGTACCCCATGCCCACCCCAATGTCCCCTCCTCCTCTGTACCCTGTGTCCCACTCCGATGTCCCCTCCTCCTCCTTCTCCATACCCCATATCCCACCCCGATGTCACCTCCTCCTCCTCCATACCCCGTACCCCACTCCGATGTCCCCTCCTCTTCCTCCATACCCCATACCCCACCCCAATGTCCCCTCCTCCTCCTCCTCCATACCCCATACCCCACCCCAATATCCCCTCCTCCCCCACACCCCGGGGCAAGCCGTGGGTCCCCGTGTCCCACTGGGTCCCTCTATGGTTCCCTCTGTCCCTCTGTGGTTCCCTCTGTCCCTCTGTGGTTCCCTCTGTCCCTCTGTGGTTCGCTCTGTCCCCAGCTGTCCATGCCCCGTCCCCGCTGCCCACACTGACCACTGCCCCTCCTCTCTCCCGTGCCAGTACGAGCAGGCGGCCGACGCCGAGCTGGCCTGGGTGGCCGAGACCAAGCGCAAGCTGATGGCTCTGGGTCCCATCCGCCTGGAGCAGGACCAGACCACGGCTCAGCTGCAGGTGCAGAAGGTGGGTGTGCCCTCCCTGCTGGGCTGGAGGGGTGGGCAGCGAGGAGGGACGGTCCACTCGGGCTCCTGGGCTGTGGTTTGGGTGAGCAGCTTTCCCCTGGGATGTACAACCGAAAAAAAAAAAGGAAAAAATTCCTCTAAATCCTCCAAGTGTTGGGCTTCCTGAGGAAAAAGCTTCCTCTGTGTCTGCAGGAGCCATTTAGGGCTTGATGGGTGCCCTGGCTTGGACTCTTTTAGGAGAGCTGCTYCCTTGGAAGCTTTTCCCTTTCCAAGCAGGGAGGGCTTGGAAAAATGCAGATATTGATTAATGAGGGTGGTTTCCATTTGCTTTTTTGCTCATTGTTCCCCGCAGCGAGGGGCTCCTCAGTTCAGACCTGGAACAAAGAGGTGCTGGAGGGTTGTTGGGTTGGTTTTTTTTTTCCTCTATATATCTTTGAGATGAGCTCATGCCTGAGAGAACGTGCATTTGGAATAAATGGCCCTTTTCTTCAGAAAAGGCAACCAGAGGCTTACGGGGTTTAAAATTAAAGAAAAAAGAAGGAAAATAAGACAGARTTATAAGAGAAGGGGGCTGAACCATCGAGCATTAAGTTAAATTGAGCTCAGCTTCTCACTGTTCATCTCGTGGACCTTGGGAACAACAAAGTTATCRGTGGATGCAGCTCTGGAGAGCGTCATTCTGGGGGAAAACATTCCCTAACAAATTCTCTAATAAAAGGATGATGATGGAGCTTTCCCTCTAGTGGGGACCTTGGGTGTGGAAGTGGATTTTACCTCATTTTGGGAGCTGTTTTCAGTTCTTTGCAAGAGAGAAGTTGATGGAGATGAGGAGAGCAGACAGGAATCTGCGTTCCCAGCCGGATTTTCATCCATGAGACTTTCGCGCCGAGTTTTACGGGGTCTCTGCTGCAGGATGATGCTGTGGATGGGCTGGGAGAGGCTGAGCTCAGCTCTGATTTCTCCCCTTCCCCTCCCTGCAGGCTTTCTCCATCGACATCATCCGGCACAAAGACTCCATGGATGAGCTGTTCAGCCAGCGCAACGAGATCTTCGGCACCTGCGGCGAGGAGCAAAAAGCCGTTCTGCAGGTGAGCCCCTGGATTTACTGAGAGGGGACAGAGAGGCCAATTCTCAACTCCAGCACGGGCTGAAGGAGTTTAAAATCACCCCATCCTTGGTAATTCCCACCAGCGTTAGCAGAAATCCCTTTACATTTATGAGTCTCCTTTATTGCCTGTTTTTATTGCAAGGTTTGGGGTTGGGGAGGGGGAGATTCCTGATGCTGCTCTAATTGAAATTTCAGCCTGGAAAGCCACCAAAAGCACCTCCTTCTCTTCMAAAGCACCTCCAGCTCGCAGTGTGGATCTACCCCTTCCCCTGAATCCTTTTTTCATCCCTCCCCAAAACTCCCCATTATTTTTTTTTTTTAAATTTTAGGAAAAAACCGAGTCGCTGGTGCAGCAATACGAGGCCGTGAGCCAGCTCAACTCGGAGCGTTACGCCCGCCTGGAACGAGCTCAGGTCYTGGTCAATCAATTTTGGGAGACCTACGAGGAGCTCAACCCGTGGATAGAGGAGACCCAAACTCTGATCTCGCAGCTGCCACCCCCRGCCATCGACCACGAGCAGCTCAAGCAGCAGCAGGATGACATGAGGGTGAGAGGATGCGGGGTTTGCACCTCCATTCTGCCTTCCAGCAGAGGGAAGGGGCAAAAGCATCTTTTTCTTCTGAGTTTTCCCCATTTTTCAGCACCTTTTGTTTCAGAATTTCACCATTTTTCAGCCCCTTTTTCTTCCAAATTTTCCCTGGTTTTGAGCGCCTTTTTCTTTTGAATATTCCCCATTTTTCAGCACCTTTTTCTTCCAGATATTCCCCATTTKTTTCAGCACCTTTTTCTTCCAGATATTCCCCATTTTTTCAGCACCTTTTTCTTCCAAATTTCCCCCATTTTTCAGCATTTTTTTCTAATGAGTATCCCCCATTTTTCAGCACCTTTTTCTAATTAATTTCCCCCATTTTCAGCACCATTTTCTTATGAATATTCCCCATTTTTGAGCACCTTTTTCTTCCAAATTTTCCCCATTTTTCTTCAGAATTTCCCCCATTTTTGAGCATCTTTTTCTTATGAATATTCCCCATTTTTGAGCACCATTTTCCTCAGAATTTTCCTTATTTTTCCCCCTAATCTCTTACTTTTGGTTCAGAGGCTTGGGGAGGCCCCATGCCAGTCCATGCCCATGTTGGGCAGAGCCCAGTGCCACGTGCCTGGCAGATGAAATCCATGCTGTGAGTTCCTCCCTGATGCTCTCACCACTCTCACAGCTCCATTTGGGATAAACAGGCAGCAGATTCCTAAACAAACACGGATTTTTTGTTTTTCCCCCTCCCTCTCCATTCCCTAGCAACTGCGAGAATCCATCGCCGAGCACAAACCTCACATCGACAAGCTGCTGAAAATCGGGCCCCAGCTCAAGGATCTCAACCCCGAGGAGGGAGAGATGGTGCAGGAAAAATATTCCAGGGCTGAGGCCATGTATGCCAGGATCAAGGAGGAGGTTTGCCAGCGTGCCCTGGCGCTCGACGAGGCCGTCTCGCAGTCCACCCAGGTACCCTCCYAAAATCCTAAACCTCCCTAAAACCAGAGGCTGGATAAAATCCTGAGAATCCAAAGCAGTTCTGTTTATGGAAGGGTTTTTAGGGATATTCAGGGCAGTCCCAGACCCACAATGGATAATGGCTCACGGGTTTTTTCACCTTTTCTCACTTTTGTCCATTTGCACAAAATTGGGGCTGAATTCTCCAATTGCAGCTGCAGCCAATGCAGTCATTGACTCCAAGTTGGCTCCCCACAATTCTCTGTTGTTTCCATCTCTTGAGGCTTGAGACAGTGAGGTGTCCTTGAGTTTGGGGCCTGGAGAGGAATTGTTTTGTGTAAAAATGGGAGAGCAGTGGTTTAGAACTCTATATTGAGTCTGGAGTTATAAATTAAAGAATCACAGGGTTACAGAGATGTGAAAACAGAGAAGCTAAAATCCTAAAATSCATCCCTCTCACAGCTCCCACGTGCTCAGGAATGGGGTTTTATTCCCACTGTAAAACCCCTTTACAGGGAATAACGTGGTCAGGCACCTCCGGGGTGGTTTCCTGGCCACAGGAGGGGAGGAAAAGGCTCCCACAGTAAATAAGGTCGTAAATTTTTATGGCTTCAATAACGGTGCTGGTTCAAAGGGGCTGCTCTGGCATCCACCAGAGGTTGGGAGGGCTCGGAGAACCTCTTGAAAGAGCTTGGAGAGATAATTTCCAGTTCTGATAAGCTGTGAGCGCAGTGAGTGCTTTGTACAGGACATAACGGAGTTCTCCAAGTTCTGGTCATCCCCTGAGGAGGTGGGTGAGGGCAGGAGGAGAAAAAGCAAAGAAAGGGCAGAGCCTGGAGGTGCTGAAGGCCAGGAAGGGGTGAAACATTCCTGCAGCTGAGGGTTGGTGGCCCCCAGTTACGTCCCATCTCCCCCCGTGTTCCCGTAGCGCAGTTGGTTCGTGTCACGTCCTGGGTGTTTATTTTCTTAATTCCTGTATTGTGCAGTCACTTCTCTTGGTTTGCACTCGTATTAACTCCGAGTTTCTCCCCCCCACGCTCCCCTCCCCTCTCATCTCTCGCCCCCACTGTGGAATGTGTTGTCTGTGTGTGTTGCTGCCTGTGCCCGTCCTCCCCACGTGGTCCCATTTCATTCTTGTGTTGACCGCGCCCCACCATTGCAGATTTCCGAGGTAAGCCAGTCCCTTCTGCCCCCAAGTCCACTTCCCCTGCCCGGCCTGATCCTATTTCACACCCAGACTTCCATTTCTGATCCGTGCACAGCTCTGCTTAAAAAATTCCCGCCGGGGTGGGGCCTGGAATCGTGTTTTTTTTGGGATGGCTTTGGTTGTGCGGCCGCATCCTGCGGGGCGCAGGTTTTGCTTTCAGAGTTTTTGCTTTCCAAGGTTTTGCTTTCCGAGTTTTTGCTTTCCAAGGTTTTGCTTTCAGAGTTTTTGCTTTTGGAGGTTTTGCTTTCTGAGGTTTTGCTTTCTGAGGTTTTGCTTTCCAAGGTTTTGCTTTCAGAGTTTTTGCTTTCAGAGTTTTTGCTTTCGGAGGTTTTGCTTTTGGAGGTTTTGCTTTCTGAGGGGCTCACGCCGCTCCAGCTGGATGTTCTGGTTCGCTCCTGCTTGTCCTGATCAACTTTGCACCGAGATCTCAGCCTTTCTCTGCTGGGAGAGCCTGGCATGTGGTGGGCACCGGTGTGTCCCCAGTAGGAACTGGGAGAGGGACTGGAGCAGCCCCAGTGCTGAGTTCCCCTTCCCACCAGCAGAGACCATTTGGGATCTTCAAGGCCAAAGTTGACTTCTCTTTTAAAAAACCAGCAACAAACCCTGCTGGCCCCCCTTCCCTCGCTCACCCTTGGCTTTCTGGTTCTGCTTTTGAGGCTCCGTGGCAGCTCCTCCCTGCCCGCATGCAGCTCCTGCCGACCCTCCAGGGTGGGTTTGCAGCACGTGGAGATTCCCAAAGCACCAAACACGGGTGCTTTTCCTGCAGTGTTTTCACCTTGGGGTTTCTTMCCCGTGAAAAAGTGGCAGAAAAGTGAACTTTTAGGGCTGAATCCGAGGTGCCACTGTGTTTGGGTCACTACGGATGGCAGTGGTGGCTCTGTGGGTGCTCGTGGGGGCTGTGCTGGAGCAGGGCAGGGGTGAGCAGGAGGCTGCAGAGCTGCAATGGTGCTGCAGGGATGAATTGATGCTGCAGGGGGGCAATGATGCAAGGGTGCCGTTGCTCTTCAGAGCTGCAATGATGCTGCAGGGGTGCATTGTTGCTGCAGAGCTGCAATGATGCTGCAGGGGTGCAATGGTGCTGCAGGGGTGCATTGTTGCTGCAGGGCTGCAATGATGCTGCAGGGGTGCCATTGCTATGCAAAGGTGCCATTGCTGCTGCAGGGGTGCAATGCTGCTGCACAGGTGCCATTGCTGCTGCAGGGCTGCAATGCTGCTGCACCGGTGCCATTGCTGCTTCAGGGGTGCTGTGGCAGCTGCAGGGGTGCTGGTGCTGCTGTCACAGGCGCTGCCCGTCCCCTCTCTGCTCRGGGCCATGGCTGCARCAMTCAGGGCCATGGCTCGTGCTGGCAGTGCTGTGCTGTCC